CAATATGTTTGAAATAGGAGAGATGAAGTCTGGCCACCCTGGCTTCTAAGGCAGATTCTGGCTGCACTTCTTCCAACACAGATCTGTTTGTTCTTTTGGCAGCCCATGGTACTTTCGATGTTCTCCTCTAATAACGCAACTCAAACACATCAATTCTACTAATAAGTACAAAATGATAGATTATGTTTGTTAGCCACAAAGAATATAGCTAATGGCAGAACCCACATCCTGACCCACAGACTGGAACATTCCCTGCACTTGGATCCTCATTTTGGTGACAAAGATCTTTTTGCTCCTCATCGGAGACAGGCAGAGGTTTTGGAGAGAAGGGGAGAAGAGATTTCTCACCCTTATCTGCTTCCCTGGCTGTATAGATCTTGCAGCCTTTGGACTGGGGACTCAGCCTCCTAACCTGGAGCCTCCCCTGTTCTAGCAGTTTGTGGTCCTATCCAAGTTAGTGTTCCAAGTGGGAGCCACAGTCAGAGGCGGATCACCACCCAGAGGGGTTCCTGGGGCCCCACCTACCAGGAAACTTGGTACTGGGCCAACATAATGTGGCATGAAATGACCCAACCTCATTGTTGTGCTGTTGTTGGTACGTGCCATGGAGTTGTCTCTGACCCATAGAAGCACTATGCACAGCATAACAAAACATTACCTGGTCCTGCGCCATCCTCACAACGGTTGTTATGTTTAAGCCCATTGTTACAACCACTGTGTTGTCCATCTCATTACGGATCTTCCTCTTTTACACCAACGCACTACTTTACTATACATGATGTCCACTTCCTAGGGTGACACTGTAGGATCACCCTTGGAAATGGACTGCAACATCAGTTTGAACTGCAGGTCGGTGGTTCAAACTCACCAGCCACTTCTCGGAAACCCTATAAAGGGTTGCTATGAATTGGAACTGACTCAACGGCACTTAACAACAACCATTCCTCCTGATAACATGTCCAAAGTACATGAGAAAAAAATTTCACCATCCTTGCTTCTAGCTGCACTTCTTTCAAGACAGATTTGTTCGGCCTTCTGGCAGTCCATGGTTCTTTCAATATTATTCACCAACACTATAATACAAGTGCATCAATTCTCCTTTGCTCTTCCTTATTCATTGTCCAGCTCACATGCATATGAGGTGACTGAAAATACCACAGCACGCGTGGGTCAGGTCCAGCTTAGTACTCAAAGTGACATCTTTACTTTCTAACAGTTGAAGGAGGTCTTCTGCGGGTCTATCCATTTGTCATGCTGTGGTGACTTGCCTGTTGCTGTGGTATTGAAGGCTCTGACACTGGTGTTTCAAATACCAGCAGCAGGGTCAACTATGGTGGACAGGCTTCAGTGAGGCCTCCACACTAAGAACAGACTACGAAGAAGGAATAGGCAGTGAGGATTGCCTTGTGAGGATTAGCCGCTGAAAGCTTTATGAATAGAAGTGAAACATTGTTCAAACCCTTCAGGTTTGAAGGCACTCAAACTACAACTTAGAAAGAGTTTCCTCCTCCAAATAAAGTCTACCTTAAAGTTTTGTAACAAAAACAGGGGATTCATCTTACAGTCCAGAAACAGAGGATCCTAGGACCATCAAGGGAGAAGAGCATGAGTGGAATGTGGAACCCTATCCAGAGAAGCAGCGACACCAGAGATGGAGGCAGAGATGATGACGTGGAGAGAGGGAGCAGCTGAGGTTTCCAGACTCATGGAAAGAGAGGGACTGAGAGCTGGAAGCCAGGAGGCAGACTTGCAGAATGTGCCCTTTGGTGGTTTAAATTGTTGTGTGTGCCTGTTGTTGTTGTTGTTGTTGTTATGTGCCGTGATGTCGGTTCCAACTCATAGTGACCCTGTACAGGGTTTTTGAGGCTGTAAATCTTTACAGGAGCAGAAAGCCTCAGCTTTCTCTGAGTGTAAAAAAAAAAAAAAAAAAGCTAAAATGAATAGAGAGAAACACTGTTAACTGATGGTACATGGTGGGGATTACAATCATTGTAATGAAACAAAATATATGACTTGTTGAATGTAAAACTGATGATGCTCTGCCCTGTAAACTTTCACTCAATTCACAATAAAAAACTTTTTAAAAATAGAGTAAAATAAAGTCTGCCTTAATGACATGGATGGAACAAAGCTTCAGAACCTTCATTTGCTGATGGAGCACAATTCAAAATGAGAAGCAGCTGCAAACATCCACTATTGTATGAATTTAGGAAAAGGAACGTTTGTTCCCCTTATGGACCCATCTGGCCTGAGTCTTGTTTGGCTGAAAACAGAGCCATGGGGGTGAGTGAATGTCTGGACCTGAAAGGTGACTAAGGGCCAATGTCTTGGGGGTCCCACCACTCTCTACCCGAAGCCTGGTCTGGTCAGGATTGGAGTTTTGTTATGATTTTGAGTTCTGTTCCATATTTTTCTCCCACTCTATCTGGGACCGTCTGATTTGATCCCTTTCATGTGATCCCTTACTTCACTGTTACTGCATTACACTTGTTACTATGTGTCTTCAATAGGAACACACCATTACATACACCACATTACACAATATCCTCTTTATGAGAGAGAAGATCTCAACTCTAGCAATGGATGTGCTTCCAAGAAACTTGTGTTCATCTTGAGGACATAATACACCACATAATAATCCAATTTCCTTTATTGCTACGGTTTCTAGGAAGCTCGGAGCCATATTTCTATTTATTGTGGGAGAAACACTTTCGAGCTTACTGTTCATACTGCATGATCTAGGATGGGAGGGCCCAGTGTTTCCTGAGTAACTGGTTTGTCTTTTTTCTTATGGACACAGTACCTTTTATAACAGAAGTTATTTCCCTCTGTCTTGAAGACGTCTCTAGCAAGTGCAGGCCTTCAGTCAGCAAGTCAGGCATGAGCTCAGCAGATTTCTTTTCATCAAATTTTTATTTCTTTTGTGGACTAAAATGGAGAAGGCACTGTGTTTTCATTTTCCCTTAACCCAATGACCATATTTCTTGAAAAATATTATGTTGTATGTGTTTCTGTGAGCTACTTCAAATTACTTTTGGAATGAGAGAGGGAGTAAACAGGCACACAACAAAAAAGCAAACAGTCCACTGCGTTTGGTGGTCAGTACTTTCCTCCCTCTGTTTTCTTCACAACATCAAGAAGTACAACCGCCGTTTGAAAAAGCACACACACATATATGAGAATTATAAGCTGATATTATGGGAACAATTTCTATGGTTTCTTTTTCCCTGTCCATATTAAATGTTCAAATAAAATACAGACATTCAAGTACAAAGCACATTTGAAAGCAACTGCTAACAACCCAAGGGGACTTCAAAAAGTTTATGGAAAATGGAATGAAAAGATAATGGAATCTTTTTATCAACTTTTTGAAGTCTGCTTTATTTGAAGGTAAAAACTAGGCTATTAATCAAGAAGGGATTTTTTTTTTTCCCCACTGCTTCTCAAAACTAACTAGGGTGGCATCCCTTGGATTAGACTAGCTGCAATTCTTCCTACTCATTTGAAAATGGTTTGTGTCATTTCAGTAGATCGTAGAGCACTCTCACAAGGTTTCAGCCCTCAAAGAAAATATTCTTTGGGACAGTCTCGGGTGCATTGTCACACGAGATGGGTTATATATGAACAAGATTCCATGCTGACAGCTGCACTGAGATTGCTCTAAGAAATGAACTTGGCAGTGTTTGTTCATACTTGAAATACCAGCAGGCAATATGGATAAAATGGCATCTCCTTAAAAATTAGGTGTCCGTACACATAGGCGAAGAAGCGCTGGTACACAGTGGATTCCAAGCTGGGCTGCTAACTGCAATGTCAGTAGTTAGAATCTACCAGTTGCTCTGTGCAAGAAAGATTTCCTGTAAAGATTTACAGCCTCAGAAACCCTATACAGGGTTCCTACGTGTCGGAACCAATGCAACAGCACACCACTTCCACATACTACACACAGATGAGTTTGTTTTAATGAAGTTGAAAACCATTTTCATTTGTAACCGCTCCACTATTTTGTACTGCTTGTCTAAAAGAGTCCTGGTGTGGTGCTGTGGGCTAAAGCACTGGACTGCAAGGTCGGTTTGAACCAAAAGGTCAGTGCTTCAGACTCACCAGCTGCTCTTTGGAAACTCTATACAGGACTGCTATGGGCACTTAAACAAAGGAGTCCTGGTGTGGCACTGTAGGATAAACACTGGACTGAAAAGTCAGTTTGAACTGAGAGGCCAGCGGTTCAAACCCACCAGGTGCTCTTCAAAAACCCTATACAGGGTCCCTATGAGTTGGAACTGACACTTAACAGCAACAAAGGAGAACTAGCATGTGTCTACCATCCAATCTGAAATTGTTCCTTTGGGGGTCTTTGAGGTCAAATTACAGAGTCACCTTGTTTGGGGTGGGGTAGGGGTTCATTCTGAACTGCCAAACTCCCCAGATTCATAAAGTTGAAAACAGGAAGTAAAGCTATAGGGCATGAGCTTAACAAGAGGGTTCAGCTCAGTGACACTTGAAGGGAGCAAAGTTTGACCCCACGGGGTGGGCAGCAAGTTGCACCTTCGAGTCCCTGGGTGTGCTGTTAACTGAAGAGCTGGAGGTTTGAGAATACCCAGAGGCACCTCAGAAGAAAAGCCTGGTAATCTATATCAAAATCCAGCTTCAACACTACTATGGAGCCCTACTCTGACACACAGGGCGTCACCAGGAGGCAGAATTGACTCTATGGCTTTTTTTGTTGGTGGTGGTTTTTAATTCTATTTTTTTATGTTTTTTAATTCTATTCTATTTTTAAGTCACTGCAAATGTAAGTACGCATAGCAAGAACCCCGGAACCCAGACAAGGACACACACAAGCTGTATGCCAGATTCAAGGACGAGTCCTGAGAAGTTTGGGTGTGGTTTCCCTGTGCCTTTCTTTGGGTGTGTGGTTAAAGCACTGGACAGAGACTGAGAACACTGGCTTTCCAGCCCCAGACCATGTGATCTTGGGCAAGTCCCCTGACCTTCCCGGGCTAAGCTTCTTCCACCAGATCTTCAGAGACAGTCTGCTTGGTGCCAGGTTCTGCATGGGGCATGGGGGAACCTGACAAATAAGACACACACGAAACCTCAACATTTTGTGAAGGAAATCAATGCAAAATTACTTAAAAGTCTGAGGCTGTCCCAACTAGCATATAATCAGACTGAGCTGACTATGGTCTGAAATGTTCATGAAGTCCTACAACAATAGTACAAGACAGGGACTATTATTAAAACTGAGGCTTAATGAAGTTAGTAGATCAGGGTCACCCTCAGAGAAGGAGTAGAGTTAGGGTTCCTACAGCAGGTCTGGGCAACTCCAAAATTCAGTGGTTTTGCCATTCTGTAGTCCTGACTTCCTTCTGATCTGACCTCAAATCTGGAGTCCTGCCATGCTGCTCAAGGATCAGCAGTGGGCTGCTACCCACAAGGCTGGTGGTTCAAACCCACCACCTGCTCCTTGGAAACACTATACAGTGTCACTATTAGTCAGAACTGACTCAACGGCACTTAACAACAATCTGGGGCCAGTCTTTAGAATTGTTTTTTTTCTCCCTTATTTATTTATTATTTTTGCCTGAAGACCCTTCAACAGTATCCGTGCAAACAGGAGTTTCCCCATTGGTTCCCATTTGGCCATCTTCTGGAGGGAAGTGCTGTGCTTTCTGGGACTGAGGCTCGGGAGGAAAAGGAGTGACCAGCTCTGTCCTCACTATGAGCTGGCTGTCTTGTCTACCATCAGCCAATAGCAAGTCAACTAAAGAGAATAAGTAAAACCAGGAATCGGTAGGCACTCTGCACTTTCCTCGGCCTTTGACCACTGCAGCCATGAGTGTCTTCCAATTTTGAGGTGAAATGAAATGGCACACTAAACAGGAAGAGTGGTCTGGCCTAAGCCAGCCAGCCAATGACAGCTCAAGCTGCTTCTTGCTAAGAGATGCTGATATTTAGCGCTCTGAGATCATCTTTAAACCTAAAACCCAAAACATCCCCTGAAGTCGCTTTAAACCAAACAATAACTTATTTGAACCATTTGGCTTTAGCTTAATTACACTCCTGTTGTAATGCTATAGGGTGAGCACGGGTCTGCTAACTGTGAGGTTGGTAGTTTAAGCCCACCATTCACTCCTCAGAAATCCTATACAGGGTCACTATGAGTCAGAACTCACTCAACGGCGCATAACAATAATAACAATCCAAAGCTATAAAGACCACCTTAATGCATTCTTTCAGAGCACTTGAGCTATCTTTTCAATGCCCTACACGTATTTTTATATGGATACAAACTATAATATTATGTTTTGTCTACCTGATAACATGTCAAGAGCCTCCTTCTATGTTGTTGTTTAATTAAATAATGCTCAATTCACACCACGTGCCATCGTTAAAACTGAGGATACTGTTCTAGTGGTTGAGCGGAGCAGCATTCACAGTGGCAGAGGGGAACGCTGAACTATATAACAGAATGCAAAGAATATCCCATTGTAACAGATTGTGAATGTCAGAATGCTTCTTTAAGGCGAAGATGGCAAGACTTTGTCTTTCGTACTACAGACATGTTGTCAGGAAGGACCAGTCCCTGGAGAAGGATGTCATGCTTGGTAAAGTAGAGAATCGGTGAAAAAGAGGAAGCCCCGCAATGGGATGGACTAACACAGCAGCAGCAGCAATGGGCTCAGGTGTGAGAGCGGTGCAGGACCGGACACAGGGTCAGTATGGAGTTGGCTCGACAGTACCTCACAGCAATACAACAATGGATATGTGTGGGTTTGCTTCTCTTTGTCCTGGGAAAGGGTAGCAGGACATTATTACAGATGAAATCGTGTCCCCCCCAAAAGAGGCGCTGAAGTCCTAGCCCCGTGTCTGTGACCGTGACCTTGTTTGAAAACAGTTTTTCTTTGACGATGTCATCAGTTAAGTGAATGAGGTCATACTGGAAGACAGTGGGCGCTAAGCCTTCTGAGTGGTTGGTGTCTTCTAAAAGGGGACCGTCACACCAAGAAGACAGACACCATGTGATACGGCTAAAAGTCACGGAATGGCTAGAACCACTGGAGAGACAGCAGAGGTTTCCCCAGAGAGCTCACAGAGAGCGGGTAGTCTTGTCAGTGGCCCAAGATCCGAATTCTAGCCTTCAGAGGTTCTGGTCTTTAAAACCACTCATTTTGTACGGGTTTTGTTGAGGCAGCCCCAGGGAACTAAGGCAGATACGCATCAAAACATTAACAGTGGTGCACTTTCTGGGTGTTTCCCCAACCCATTTCTGGGGGCCATTTTCAAATTCTCCTGTTGTGCATTTAGAATAATGTAAAGTTTTAAAATAAAAAAGGATGAAGAGAAATAGCACAGAATAGTGACACAGGCTCTATCAGATGTCTACACGTTGACGGACAACATGGTTCCAAATGATGGGTTATTCTTGATGTCTGTAGCTTTAAACAAGGGGTGCAGGCACAAGGTGACTTGGGTTTGGTCCTGGAAATTGGCACCTGGAAGAGTCACCTGACGTTCCAGAGCAGGATTTTGATACCCGGCTGCTTCTCCCTGAGATGAATGGAGTTCCATGCGGTCACAAGGACCTTGAAGACCTAGGAGGGCTTTGTTTTTGAGCCTGGGATAAGAATCAGGCTTCCCCGGAATCAATTACAGGCTGTGACTCAAAAAACTGACCTTTTTTTTCTTGTTTGGTCCAGAAAATCTTGACTTGCTGGCGGATGTGCTTGTCCTCACGCAGTTTCTTCTGCCACTGACGCAATTCTTGAATCTCAGGATTGCAGCGAACCTGAAAAAGTCACATAGCCTCAGTGCTTTTTGAACATTAGCCCGTTAACCCTGCACGGACCGTCCTTGACAGGCCACGGCAATTAACGTTGGACTCAACTGAATCATCCTTGTACATGAGTCCCTCGTACCCCTCGAGACCACACAATATCTGAGTGCCCATGAGGTGTGGGATGATTCGCTATGTGAATGGTAAGTTGAGAACATTCTAGATCTGTACTGTCTGACTGAAATATAAATTTCCTTGCAGTCTCATTTTGAAAAGCAAAAAAACAGGTGCAACTGTTTTCAAGAATATATTTCATTTTGCTTCGTATATTCAAAAGATGAACATTTCAACATGGAATCAATAAAAAAAATATTTATGTGATATTTTACTTTCTTTTTTCCATTCTAAGTCTTGGAATTCTGCTCTGTCATTTACACTTACTTCATGTCTCAATTTGGATTTGTTATACTTAAGTGTTCAACAGTCACATGGTGGCTTACCGTTTTGATCAGCGTGGTTCTAGATCATTCACAGCTAATGGATTAGCCAGAGGCCTGGTATGGTGCTGTGGGTTAATGCGCTGGAATTAAGTAGTAAGTTTGAACTGCAAGGTCAGTGGTTCAAACTCACCAGTTGCTCCTCAGAAACCCTATACAGGGTCCTTATGAGTCGGAACCAACTTGATGGCACTTAACAACAATACAACGGATTAGCTGGACACCTGTAGGATCAACAGTGGCCTGGGAACCACAAGGTCAGCAGTTCAAATCCACCAGCTACTCATCAGAAATCCTATAAAGGATTGCTATCAGTCAGAACTGACTTAACACACTTAACAACACCACCACAATGGATTAGCCACAGATCGGTGTAACACCTACTGACCGAGTGTATAGCGGGTCTTGGTGTGGCGCTATGGGTTAATGCGCTGGATTTCAAGGTCAGCTTGAACTGCAAGATTGGCAGTTCAAGCTCACCAGCTGCTTTTCGGAAACCCTATACAGGGTCGTTATAAGTTGGAACTGACTCAACAGTACTTAACAACAACAATGAAGAGATTATTAATAATCATTATTCTATTATTCACATTTATTGAGCATACTTATCGTGTTCCAGGCATTGTTTAAGTGTATTGTACTTTTTAATCCTCAAAACAACTCAAAAAGGCATGAATTATTGTTCTCATTTTATAGATGAGGAAACAGAGTTAAACTTGTCAAGTCACGCAGGTAGGAAATGGCAGACCTGGGATTCAAACTCAGGCAGACTGGTCCCAGCTACTCCTGTGGGACGTAGAATCTAGCATGGAGGTCAAGTTAGGCACAGGATGAGTAAGGATGTTGGAATCTAGCTGTCCGGAAACACAGAGGGGGCATCTAACTGCACCTGGCACGGTCAAAAACTACTTCCTAGAGAAAATGATGCTTGGGTTGGGCTTTGAGGATGAACTAGAGTTAGCCTTGGGGAGAAGGGGGTAGAAGGTAAAGATGTTCCAAGGAGAGACACCAGCCTGTGCAAAGGTGTGGCGGTAGGAAACAGTCCCATGCAATTGGAGACAGAAAAAGACATAGCTACTCTCAGTCTTCCCTTCCTGCTTCATCCTTCTCCTCTGCACTAGCTGGAAGCATTGTTCTGACAAAGCAGGTTCCAAGACTGGAAGTTACTTCATATGTGTCAACATTACTTCTGAAAAACAGTTTCAAGTCCCAATGACATCCCAGTGATAATAGTTTCCCAATTTAGCACTTCAGAAGAAATGTGGTCTTTTAGATGAATGGGTATTTGGAGGAACATACCACAATGAGTGTGTGTGACTGAGGGACATCCTCTCTCTCCCCAGAGAGTTGGCCCTTTTCCCTGGATGCAGGGATCTCAGGTGCCACAGGGAAGTGCTGGCATGCCTGTGTGTCTTCCCCGGCTGTAGCTCTCACAGAGCTGCTGTCCTAGGGATGCAGGACAAACTGAAGAACTGAGGAGCTCACCTACCTGCAGGTCCCAGCATTTGTGGAAAATGAATCAAAGGAGCCCAGAGTGATGGTAAACTGGAGAGTGCCAGCTAGTCTACAGGGACCAGTGGTCCCCTAGCTCTGTGGTCATGCTAGTGTCGTGAAACCAGGGCTGACGCTGTGCTCTCCCAGACCATCCAAGAACATCACTGGTGATGGTGGTCACGTGCCGTGGAGTCTGTTCCGACTCACAGCAACCTTGTACAGGGTTTCCGAGGCTATAAATCTTTATGGGAGCAGAAAGCCTCATTTTTCTCCCGCAGAACAGCTGGTAGTTTCGAACTGCTGACCTTGTGGTTAGCAGCTTGACTCGTAACCACTACGCTACCAGAGCTCCTTCTTGTGAATTACTATCCTGGCACTGGGACCTTGGTTTCCTATGGGATCATTGCAGTTCTTGGAAGGAGCCCAAACCTAATCTCTCAAGTCTCAACTTTTGGAGTCACCCACAGACCCCCTTACAGTCCCCAGAAGAGCTAGACTGAGCTGGGTGTCACCATCGGCTACCTCCTGGTCCCAGAGCTTTTGGTTTCTCCCAGCCAGTGGAGGGGCTACTTCCTCCTCTGTGTGTGTGTGTCGGGGGTGGGGGGGGGGGGTGGGGTTATGGCCTCTGTTGTACCGTGTTATTCTAACTAGGAATCTTGAGACTGGTGCTGAAGCAAACTCAATTCCTCCCAGAAAGTTCTGGATCACATTGTTTGAGACACTTACAATGAGTACATGTTGTTTGGGGAATATAATACAGTTTAAATTAAATATTAAGTAACAAGTGTTCTTTAGCTTTCAGATACTGATGGATTTTCCCCACAACCCCTCAGCTCCCAGTCACTTAAATCCTCACTGAGCAGGAACATCCGTTTCCTGTCACTCTGAAAGCCTGCACTTGCTCACAAGGGACCAGCCAGGGGTGAGTTCCCTCTTCCTGGCCAGGGATTGCTTCACCTTTGCCTGTATTTGCTCTGTTTCCCAGTGAGGATGGCTGCTTCCACACATAGGATGCAACAGCCTGATTAGTCAGTCTTGTTAACTAGCTTCTCATTACCTGGAAAGTCTCAATTCCTAGAGGAGGCGTTTGTCAGTCCTGTGGAAACAGGCACCCATCGTGTTGTTCTAATCCCAACCACTGTTGCCCTGATTAGGAAATCCCTTTATATGGTGGCAGCGGTCATGTAAATTCCAGAGTGCAGTGCGATGCTAACACCAGACACAAAACAAAGGCTCCCTAACAGTGGCCTCTTCTTTTCACTTCTTTGCCTTACTGTGTGGGTCCATTTGATCTTCCAAAATGGGCACGCTGGGTGTTATACAATTTATTGTGAACCTGACTTGGGGTGAGATCAGAAAGAAAAATCCTTTTTGGGGTTATGGTTGTTTATAAATTCCCATGAAACCATCAAATCCAAATATAATTATATAGATATTGTTGTTAATTGCCATCAAATCGGTTCCAACCCATGGCGACCCTGTATAAGGTTTCTGAGGAGCGGCTGGTGAGTTTGAAGCACCGACCTTGTGGTCCAGCATGTTATCCTGCAGAGCCGCACCATACAACTATATGTTGTAATTATGTGAGAGTAAGTGAAAAATTAGTGCTACAAAATCATAGAAACCTTTATTAAATACACAAAAATAACAAAATATAAAACTAGTAACAAAAATAAATAATATTGACATAGCCTCCATCTTGGTCTATATACCTCTGAAATCAGTGTTGTCATCTCTCCAGCCCTTCACTTAAGAATTCTGCACTCTTTGATTCATACCACATCAAAATAACAGTTTTGACATCCTCAAAGGACTCATATCCTAGTCCTTTTAAATGTTCTTTGAGCTTTAGGGGAAAAATGAAGTCTGAAGGAACATGATCAAGGCTATCGGGTAGATGAGAGAAGTTTTCCCAATGAAATTTTAGGACAACCCTAGCTACCCTGGAAGAATGAGCAGATGCATTGTTGTGATGGGAAAAATTCCTCAGTGCACTTTCCTGGCCTTTTCCTTAGCAATGCTGTTTTCAATTTTCTTAAAACATCTTCCTAAGAAGCCCTTGTGATTGTCCTGCCCTGTGTCCTTCAAGATAATCTATCACGATGTCCTCTTTGTCGTTGTTGTTATTAGGTGCCATCGAGGTGGTACCAACTCAGAGTGTGGCCCTATGCACAACAGAAGGAAACACTGCCCGGTCCTGGGCCAACCTCACAATCATTGCTACATTTGAGCCCACGGCGGCTGCCACTGTGCCAATCCATCTTGTTGGGAGTCTCCTTGGAATCTCCCCAGAAAACAGTCACCATAATCTTCTGAGCGGGCCTCTCTGCCTTGAATTTAACTGACCAAGCAGTTCCCTTTGAGAGCCACTGTTTTGACTGGGCCATGTTGGGGTGAAAGCACCCTAGTAAGACTCAAACAAGTGTATTACAGAGAGAACCTGTCAGCGGCCATCCACTGATCACAGAGACATGTTCAAATACATTTTGTCTGGAATGAACCCATGTGTGTAATATGTTGTTGTTAAGTGCCATCGAGTTGTTTCCAACTCACAGTGACCCTGTATAGGATTTCCAAGGAGATGCTGGTGACTTTGAACCACCAACCTTGTGATTCAGACCAACCTTATAGTCCAGTGTTGTATCCCACAGCACCACACCTAGGAACCCTAGTAAGTGTAATACTTTTTTATTTGCCTTCATATATTGTTGTTGTTGTTGTTAAATACCATCGAGTCAGTTCTGACCCATAGCGACCCTATATAAGGTTTCTGAGGAGCGACTCGTGAGCTTGAACCGCTGACCTTGCAGTTCAAACGGCTTTGCAGTCTGTGCATTAACCCACAGCGCCGCTAAACCAATTATTATTCTTAAGTGCCATCGAGTTGGTTCCAACCCATAGTGACCCTGTATAGGGTTCCCGAGGAGCAGGTGGTGAGCTTGAAGCACCAACCTTGTTGTTAGCAGTCCAGTGCTTATCCTACTGTGCCACACTAGAACCTTTGTTGTTTTCCCTACTTCT